AATGCACCCTCAGGGTAGGAGCTGGTTCGCCTCCGATCAGTCAAGGAACTGATGTCGGCTCGCTTACCGGTCATTGGTGACCAGGTGCTTTTACAGGTAACTTTCATCTGTTTCAGTCCAAGCCAGGAAAATTCAAGCTGTATCCGGTCCCTTCTTTTCAAAATAAAATCTCCCCTCGGGAGTTAAAAACACACTTAGAGACTCGGCCTCGGGTTGAGACCACCGGCAGGCATGCCGGGTCCATGACTGTTAAGTCTTCCCTAGTTAGCTCATGGGCTCAGACTTAAAAGCCAAACTGAGGTTTCTCCAGAGAGAATCCCAGCTTTCTTCCTCGGTTGAAGTCAGGAAGAAGAGTGTTTCGCTCAAAGCCGTCCGGGTTAGTAAAAGAAACGGACGAACTTTGGTTCCACCCTCAGGCTTAGAGATGAGTCAGAGAAAGAAAGATAAAGATTTGCCAGCCGGCGCCAGCCCAAGGTTAAAATTCTGTGATTTTTTTTTTATACTATTATAAATCTTTTAAAGCACGATAAAAGAAAAGAAGTGGTTCCACTTTTCCTGTGACAGTCATTACCATGATTTAACAAATGCATAAACATTCTTAGTTAAACAACAAATGAATCACGAACAGAAGAGATTGTTCTGTCCATTATCTGATTAAGAGAACTGAGGGGTTCTCTTCCACGGTTAGAATGACCTGTCATGGCCTAAATAGAGTTCAGTTTGTGACAGAGTTCCTGTCCTCTCGTCAGGCCTGCTTCGAGGCAGAAAATCTTGTTTCTTCACTCCAGGTGACCCCTACAATTATTTTAGGACGATGACAATAGTTGTCAACAACCTGTTGTGTGTTTTTCATGGAGCTACTAAGAGAAGCTAACATGTCAGATAGTCACAGTTAGCATCTTGTGTGAGTTTGATTCATGCCGTTTTTCCCTTCAGAGGTATTCCACCTGTTTTATCACCTGGGGCGGCTGTGGTGTAGTGGTAGAGCAGCCGGCTTTGGGACCCGCAAGTCACAGGTTCGACTCCCCGCCATGCCTATATGCCGTTGTGTCCTTGGGCAAGACACTTCACCCACCTTGCCTACTGATGGTGGTCAGAGGGGCCGGTGGCGCAATATGGCAGCCCCGCCTCTGTCAGTGTGCCCCAGGGCAGCTGTGGCTACAATGTAGCTTACTGCCATCAGTGTGTGAATGTGAGTGTGAATGAATGATGCATGAAAAATTGTAAAGCGTCTGAGGGTCTCGAAAAGCGCTATATAAAACTAATGCATTATTATTATTATTATTACCTGTTTTATCACCTGTTTTATCACCTGTTTCCACTACAACACACTGGATTTAATTTTTCAGTCATATTCAAAGAAATAAAGTGGACGTTGTTATTTCTCCCAACTGTGGTTGTCATCATTTAGCAGGTGACTGTAAACGTGTTACAGACCAAAGCTGATGTGTAACTCTATTTGAAAAAAAGATCCACATCTCAAAATAAACTGACAAACACTCAAACTAAGGATATTATATCTATAATTTCAGTTAGTTTTAGTTAGTTTTGTAAAAAGATTATACAGTTTTAGTTAGTTATGGTTTTTTATTACAGTTTTATTTTAGTTAAAATGTTTTTCCACTTTCAGTTTTCCTTTTTTAGTTAGTTTTAGTTAGTTTTAGCTAGCTATAATAACCCTACCCCACCTGTGGGAACCACTGTGTGAGTCAGGTACCTCTTACAGACGTGCTGACTGCCAGAGCGGTACTCGTGCTCGTAGGCGGGGATGTTCAGCTGGTGTCGCAGAAACCGACTTCCCTCCATGCGGGTCAGAGCTGGAGTCACCGGGTCGCGCCACTCAGGGACAAAAACGATGAAGGACAGAGGCTCAGAGGACTGGTCCAACAGGTCCTGACAGGAACAGAGTGGAAGGTCCACAGGTCAAAAACAGGTGAGTTTACTGAGCGCTGCAGCCCGACAGACACCTGAAGCTTCTCACCTCAAAGTGCGTGACCATGGCGTCCATCAGCTCCTCACAGAACGGAGGGTTTGCTTCAAACGAGCCACTGACTGGACTGAAGGACAGGAAGGGCCTGGACACACAGGATGGACTCATGCAGCTTACAGGTGTCCACATCAATGTCTGACAGGTGTTTACACCTGAAACTCATTTCTGTCTTCAAAAGCACAAATGGACACTTTTACCCCTTTTCCACTAGGACCAGTTCAGACTGGCTCGGTACGGTTCGGTACGGTTCCAAGACATTTCCATCAGGCCAGATTCATGGAACCGGCCTGTTTTTAGTTCCTACTTCGTTGTGGTTCCAAGTGGTTCCAGTCTACACCAAAATGTGACGTCAGAACACTGTTCATCACTGGTTGGTCAGGGGGCGGGGTCACTGGTTGGTCAGGGGGCGGAGTCACTGGTTGGTCAGGGGGTGGAGTCACTGGTTGGTCAGGGGGCGGAGTCACTGGTTGGTCAGGGGCGGAGTCACTGGTTGGTCAGGGGGCGGAGTCACTGGTTGAGTCTGAGGTGCCTTTACAACAACAAGTCGAGGAGCCATTTTTGCGATTGTAGCAGTGACATTCACAGTGGCAGAACAGAGATCCACACCGTGGTCCAGTGCTGAGGAGCAGGAGTTTATCTGCTCGGTGGCAGAGGAGAAAATTCAAAGTGAGCTAGATGGGTCGACTCGCAACAAAAACGTGTTCAAGGAGTTGTCGAAGCTGATGGCCACTGGTGGCTACGAGAGAACCCCGAAGAAATGTCAGGACAAACTGAAAAAGTTGAAGTATGATTACCACACAATTAAGGCCCACAATGGAAGGAGCGGTTCAAACCGGTTCAAATCTACTGCTATGTTTAATGGTTGCCTACAAACAGCACCACCTTCAGGCAAATACCTGTAACAACAATATTCAGACTGTGGAAATGCCCAAAACACACCCACTGGAACAAGACTGTCAATGGAAAAGAACCTGAACTGACCCATATCAACACTGAACGTACCTGACACTGACCCGTACCCGACAATGAACGTACCTGACACTGACCGGTACTTGACACTGAACGTACCTGACACTGACCCGTACTTGACACTGAACGTACCTGACACTGACCCGTACTTGACACTGACCGTACCTGACACTGAACGTACCTGACACTGACCCGTACTTGACACTGACAGTACCTGACACTGACCGTACCTGACACTGACCCGTACTTGACACTGACAGTACCTGACACTGACCCGTACTTGACACTGACAGTACCTGACACTGACCCGTACTTGACACT